TTTTTTTTTTTTTTTTTTTTTTTTTTTTTTGTGAGAGGTTTTTTGCATTTATAGCCCTTCTCAGATTGCCCCAAGGCAGCTGTGGCTACAATCCAGTAGGTTGCCACCATCATCGTCATTTTTATTATTTTTAAGTCATCCTGCAGCATGTCTGTAAGATGAAGATCTTGTCTTTACTCTACTTGAGTCTCTCAGTTCAAATTTAATAAAAAGCTATGTGACACACTTTATTTCATAACTTTCAGCTACTCCTTTCATTTACTGGTATGTTTGGGTGATTGCCAGGTTAGCCATTCTAGTTCTGCCTTAGCTTTATTTTTTTAACAGATAGTTTCACATTTTACTCAAGCGCCCTCTGAGGAACAATAGAACTCATGGTGGGTTTTATGATGGTGAGCCAGGTCCTTCTGCAGCACAACATTCACAAACTCTGACACTTCCAGGTCCATAAGTCGGTTAGCATGAGTGTCTTTTTCCTGAATGCTGTATTTGTTTTATGTCTAGCATCGCATTGATTTATTGCTTGAATGTATCAGTTGTAAAAAATTAAGTTGAACAGCCATGTGTCCAAATGTAAGAAACTCAGTCATGTACGGTGTCTGATTTCTTCAAATTGATCCTATATCCATTATTTTACCATAAATATTAAAACTTCTCTGTCTTCTAGCTGAAGAAGCAACGACTCAAGGAGAAGATTGAAGCAGATGTAGGCGCCTTGGTCCAGTTCTTGTTGGATGAGAGAGATTCTCTTCTGGAGAGCTTGGATGCTGAGGAAGCAGCCTCTCTGGCCGTCATTGACGACAACCTGGAGTTTGTTGAGAGTGAAGCAGCAGATGTGGACAAACTCATAGCAGATATTCATAATCACATTGGTGGGAAGACTAACTTTGAGGTGAGTTGAACATGAAGGCATCATTGCAGTGTGCTGAAAAGACGTTAAAAATCAGATAAAAATGGTCTTGTAGACAGATGCACCAGTTGAACCAAAACCTTTAATGAATACTGTTACTTTGGTTAACGTGCAGTAAATTATTAATAACATCCAGCATAACAATTAAGGTAACATCTAATTTTACTCCAACAGAGCCTTTCTGGAACATTTAATGAGTAAGTAACCTACAACTGAAGACCATCATTAAATAAAAAAAAAAAAAGAATATAAAAGGTTAACGTATTTGTTTCCTCTCCAGAGCAATACATCGCAAGTCTTTCACATCCCTTGAGCCGGTCAGTTGTACGACTGAATTTACAGACTTCTCAGGGCCTTTCCAACTCATCATGTGGAAGAAGATGATGCACGTTCTGCACACCAGTAGGTGTAGGCAGCAGAAATAGTACCACAATAGTAATTCATCATGATTAAAGTAAGGTGAACTAAACTTTCCGTATTTCTCCCTGCATAGTGCCTCAGAACCTGACCTTAGACCCTGACACCGCTCACGCAAACCTCCTTATCTCAGACTTTGACACCAAAGTGGAGGAGGGACGGGTTCGCAGCCAGGAGCTGGATCTTCCGGGCCGCTTCAACCGGTTCTGCGGAGTCCTCGCCACAGCCCAGTACGCCAGCGGCCAGCACTACTGGGAGGTGGACGTGAGGGACAAAGGAGTGTGGTACCTGGGGGTGACGACTGAGTGCAGCAACAGAAAGGGCTTTGTCAGTCTCACTCCATCCGCAGGATACTGGAGCCTCTGTCTGCAGGACCGACTCTACGCCAACGTGGAAGATGGCCGCATTCCCCTCGCTGACTACTGGAACTCCCCGCGTGTCGGAGTGTACCTGGACTATGACAATGGCCGCCTTAGTTTCTATGATGCTGTTACAATGAAGAGACTCTACATGTTCGACACCTGCTTCGAGGAGCCTGTCTATCCCTTTTTCAGCCCAGGGAAGAATGACGTAGGGAGCAGGCTGCAGATATGCCATTACTATTAACAGAGGTGTGATGAGTAGGTGTTAAGAGTCCAGCTCGTGCTTTCAGGTTAGCCTGTTGGAAAGACATCTTCTTTAGACATGGAGTAGTGATGATGTGATGTTGCTTCCCGGGTGAACATTCTCAACTTGGATTCCCCCCCCGCCCCCAACTTAGACACAAACTGTAGGCTCACACCCCTGGTTACTACGGTGGTGGATTTGGAGAGGTGCTTTGCTTTTTACATATATCACTGTGTTTGTGGGATTGCAGATGCCTCAGGTGTTCCTGGTGATTAAAGCATCCTAATTTATGCTCTATTAACACCTGCTCTGCCAAACTTTGTTACATTTGCTTTTGCTTTCTGTTCTCAGTTTGGCCAGCTTGCCTGGGGAATTAACTTGAAATTCATGTTTCTAGATCAAGCGGGTTAGACTGGTTTTATGGAATGGTTTTATCAAAAACATTTTAAGCTACATGTACATTTCCTTAGTTTATGTCATATACACGCAGCTTCAAACTGTTGCCAGACCTACTGTTTACTTCCAAGTCCCTTTTTGCAGCACAACTTTACAGTGCTGAACACAGGTAGCCATGAGGAGATACCTTAACAAATAAGAAATGTTTTATACAGCTGAGCAAATGGCGAGCTACAAGTCAAAGTGATACATTTCTTTGAACATAGCAGCTCCTAATAAAGCTGTATTTTCATATATTTAGCCACTTAGTGGATAAATATTTAGCTTTATACATTCCATTAATAAAAAATAAAGCAAGAACTTGGATTTGACTGAAATAGTTATGGAGTGCTGAATGTTAGCGTTGTCTTCTTTCTTTTATGTTAAATTGATTACTGCTGTTACATATGATTGATACCTGTATTTAAAATCCATGTATTTTATGATTATTTTTTTTTTTTTTAGTTTTGGTTTTTTTAAAGTTGAAACGTTGAAACTTGTGCTGTTATGTATTTCTGTCTATTACTTTTTTTATTATTACTTTTTTTTCTTGGACTTTTAGTTTTGAATGGCCACGAAGATGGCAATTTTTCACATTTTTTATTTGATTTTTTTCATTATTTTTATTTTTTATTAGACAAGTTGAACCTGAAGACACTGCTCTTTGATTATGGGAGCTTTCTGTTGCATCTCCTTTTCTCTCTCGCTGTGTTTTATCCATGACTATACCTCTATGGGTTTATTCATGCAGTTTCGTTGACTTAATTTGCTTATCCATTTTAGGATTATTTTCAGTTGTGTCACAAAGTTTTGACTCCAGAATCTTGCTAAGGCTCTTGCTCTCTGTATGAATATTCATTCTATTTCATCTCAATAAAACAAAAACAAAAAAATTCTATAATTTATTGATCTTCTTACAGAAACAGTCCACTTCATCCTCATATGCCATCATTATAATTGCAGTTTTGGTATATTATGTTCCAAAAATTAAGTCTTTTTAAATGGACTTGGCAATATGCCTGTTCTCACTTGTAGCTGTGTGTAGGACTATGTTCTAATTAGTTATAGTTTCACATTTTCTCTTTTAAGCTGAAGTTGAGACTTTACCTTTAAAATACTATTCTTAGCCCTCTGATGCGTAAGTGGGTAAGTGTCTGGCGTCCATTTTGTTTTCCTTTTTTCTTAACCACAACAGACCAATCTGGTGCTGCCGAGTTACTAATGCAGAACATTTAAGGAGGAGGTGAGAAAACTGCTTCATCTCCTCCTGGCCAGGTAGTGACTCAGAGGCGACTTTGCTGTTTCTCTATTGAGATGTGGGCTTAATGCAGTACAAATGACTAAATCTAACAAAGAAACATTACTGTAAACACTGTTTTGTCACTAAAATATTTGTTCAAGAAGGTCCCATTTAGGTATGATGTCTTTGCCATAGAGCCCTTTTCATTTTGATCTTCAGGTTTACAAACCCCTTATTGCTGAATGAAGTATTTAGAAGACATACATTGATTCTGATATAAACCACTTTTCAAATGAAGCAGATTGCTAATTTGAAAATACAGCAATTGATCATTTGCAGCTTACTTTCAACCAGTGTCAAACTACATTTTCTTCTGGACTATGCTTAATCTAACAAAAGCAGTCATCATAATTGTCATTTATTAACTAAAGGAATCATTCAAGGCACATTTGTGAAATAACAGAAGTCTGTTGAAATAAAACACAGTTTACACAGCATTTCTCACTGTTCTGGTTTATTTTTGCAACAATTTTCCAGGATTACATACATCTTGTAATTGCCTTCTGTCTGACCTCCTCTAGCATACAGCCGTACACATATTTGGTAGATGTAGCGTTTTATTTAAATGTGCTTTAGTTATTTCACACAAACTAGTTAGTGACAATTAAAGACATGGAAAATGAAAAATAATAACGGTGTGTGATTTACGGAGAAAAATAATTTGTCAGTACATAGTTTTCCAACAAATGAAAAACACAAGAATAAAAACAGTTAAACAGTTTTTAATAAACACACATTAAAAAATAGGCTCCTTTTGGAGCCACACATAAAAACAAATACTCCAAACCGTCCATGATAAAAGTGCTGGTTATCAGTAACAATAATAAAATGACTGTAATGTACAATACACCTTTGATCATGATAAATGAACTGTACATACAGGCATATATTATCCATGTAAAATGATAGAACTCTTATAATATTTGTACTTTGTGCAATGTTAAAAAGCAAATTACAACAACACATTTTGGCAGAGGGTAACATCAACGTTAAACCATGTAAGCTCTTCGAGGAAGTCAGAGGAGAAATCAGATTTCAGATGCTACAACTTATGACACATAACATAATGTTTGGCGGAGAGTAAAGTGTCCAACGCGACAGTTAGAAAAATAATTTGTACAACAAATCATGAAGAAAAGAAAATCAAAAATAAATTAAATAATCTGGAAAAATAAAATACAGCAAATGTTTACAACTTGGTTCTAATATTTCAGTCATTCGGGTGGCTACTGCTTGGCATGATCTCAGTTTCATTTAAATGCTGGAATATGTAGGATATATACTGTAGCAATATAACATGGACTATAAATCCATATGTACACCTACATATGCATATTTACAATTACAGTAAATTATTGATATTAACAGACAAAAGTGCAAAAAGCCATGGGGTCAATTTTTAGAAATCTATTTTGGTTATTACAACAGCAAGACCATAAAAAGAAATTTCCTGTAGAAGTGGAACTGGTTTGGATGTTATCCTTCATTGAATAAACTATAACTTGCATAAAAGTCAACTAATGACTGGTGGGTCTTGCAGGATGAAAAAGTACAGAGTGACGAATTGACCTGCAACTACACATTCCAAAATGTTCTGTTTTGTATACAGATTTAAAAAAAAGGAAGGCAGGATCAGCAGGATTTTTGGTGCACAGTGACAAAATGGCACCTCTTGGGATTTTGAAATGATGTTCTGTTAAAAAGTTTCGAGCAATAAATATCTTCCCTGCAGCAGAAAACGCTCGTGTTCTTCATTTTGTTGATTTGTTGTTTACAGAGGCTGAAACCAAAACACACTGATTTATACAAACACTGCTTTATAAAGTTTTAGATCATTGCATTGCAATGATATTCACTCTATTCTCTAAATATTCATAAATAAGCATTAGCATCAACTTCAACTCATTTGAGACTGTTTCCATGGAGTTGCTGGTTTTGGACCTTTTAGACTGGATGTTAGCCTCAGCCTCTGGGACTAAAACAAAAAGAAGAACACATGAAAGTTAACTACAGCAGGTAAGGTTTTGACATTTTTAAAGAACCTCACTACAAACTGTACTGAACTATAGGTCTACCTTCCTCTGAAAACATGGTTGGAAATAGTACATGCTTGTTTGTCTTGCTGGTTGCTGGAAAAGTCATGAATCTGATCCAGAAATTAGGTTTATCACAAAATGCCACATCTGGCAGGATGAGTCCAGGTGGATATACTGGCAAAAATCAAACTTATTTCTCTTCTTCTAATATTAATATTTTTTGCAATTTCTTTACCCTTCACTGAAAAGAAATGAACAAGGAACCCACCTGCCCAAACACGCTGCAGGAACATTGCAACTTAATGACAGCTAGTAATGTGAAATATTAATTTATTCAAGCAGGTTTGGTTGATGCCTTTCCTTTACCTACTGCAGATATCTGTAAACTTTGAAGCAGTGATTCCCGGAGTCGGCAACTGCCACATGTCCATCTGAAGTGAGAGCGAGGCCCTGGGGCCCATAGAGCGGGTCTGCTGAGGTGTTAATGTAGGACAGGAAGGACCCTGTGCTATCAAAAACCTAGAAACAAAAAATTTCCTTTTAATTTTTTGACAATAATGGAATAACTATTAAAAAGTGCTCTGAAAAAGCATTTCAGAAAATGTTTTTTTTTCTTTTTACACATTTCTTCTGTGTGTTTTTTTTTATATCTTTGTTTCAGATTGTGAAACTAATATGAATATCACAGCAGCAGTTCACAGCTGAGTATAAAGCAGCTGGGATGAAGATTGGTACCTTCAAATACGAGATCATGGTCTTGAGCCAGAAAAGGGTAGAATGCCTTCTCTGGGTCAAGGACAAGGTCCTGCCCCAAAACGAGGAGTTTAAGTGTCTCAGGGTCTTGTTAACAAATGAGGGGAAAATGGGACATTTTTAGGCGGATTGGTGTGTCTGCAGAGATTCGAGTGCTGACCCAATCTGACATGGTGAAGATGGAGCCAAAAAGCTCAATGTTCAATTTACCAGTCTACATACTTTTCTACTCTTATCTGTGGTCATAAGATTTGGGAAGTGAGCAAGATGTAATCAAGATCTCAGTTGAGAAGATACTACAAATGTCATGAATGGTTTTGATAGCTTTTACTTGGGTTATCTTTCAATTCATTCTTTCATTATCTTAAACATTTAAGTATGACAAAAA